TTGGATGCTGAGTACTGTATTACTGAGGCCCTTTGTAATAGGTTTATATTCCCAGCAGCACTGCCCAGAGGCTTCCAGCCTGCACCTTCCACCCTGCCAGGAGCCAGCCCAGGCCCTGGAGGAGCACGGCAATGTGCAGTAGGACGGGGAATGGAGAGCTGAGCAGGCCCAGGAGCTGTCTCCTGCTGCCCTGACACTCTGCTCCAGCTGTTCAAACCCTCCTTTGGATCTGCTGAAGCACTGCAGTCACAGCCCTGCGTTCTCTCTTCACACACAAGCAAAAGGAAGGGGCTGGCCCCGAGCTGTCGCTGCCTTACAGCCCCCCTGGCTGCGCTCTGGCCACCTCTGCTCTTAGAGCACTGGCAGTGCTGTCACAGGTGCTGCTCTGGCCTCATGAGAAAGCAGCTTTTCTGGCAGCATCCCTAATGACACAGGACTGTACAGCCTCCATCTCCCTACTCTGTTAAAGGTCCCTACCTGCTTTCAGGGATTGAGCCTGGGGTCTTGCTTCCCCTCCCTGCCCCTCTGAGCTTACACAACGATTATCCTCCATGGTCTCCAGGGTACAGAGAGCTCTCCAGTGCCTGGAACCGGGGCACGACCAGGACGTGCATGCAGACTGGGAGACCTGTAGAAATCAACAGCTTCCTCAATACAGATGCAGCCACACAACACCCCCTGATGATGAAGGGTGCCAAGGGGCACCCTTACAGAACAGCTCACTGCACCCCAGCACCCAGGAAGCCTTACCCAATGTTGACAATATAGGCTGTAATACTAATTTGATAAAGTTCTCTGTTATTATTACTTAAAATACATTTTTATTGCTTGAAATGTATTTAACTTCTCATTCTTTAAAGGAGAGCTGAAGCTGCTTTCACAGCAGAGACCTCCATAAGTCTTCATTTCTTTAACAGCAAAAGCTATTTCTATGGCTAGCCTGGCTACTGTAAATGAAAATATATATATATTATTGCAGCTCAACACTAAGTAGGTCAAAGCTTTGCTCTCCCAGTAAAGCTGCCAGGCAAAGGGCAGCAGCAGCTCTGGGGTGTGTAGTATCTTTCACATGAATAATTCACATGTGGCTTGCAGAAGTGAAAGATTTAAACAAACTAGTGCAGGGGCACGTTTGTGTGAGGAATGAGGAGAGGTAAAATAAAAACATATATACTAAGAAGGAAGTATTCTGAGAAGGTTTTTGCAAAAATACAGGCAGAAATGTGACAAAATCTAAGCTTGTTTTAATTTCATTAGTTTAGTTGGAAAATATTTCTGAATGGCAAGAAAAAGCTCCTAATATCTTTAATATACAAAACAAACAAAAGACAAGATGGTAAAGAAAAAAGGGGGGGGGGGGGGAAGGGTAATGAATAATAGTAAGAAAAGTAGAAATAGAAAAGTAAACCACTCATGCCCAAAGGTAGATAAGAGGAAGCATGTATTCGCTGTGAAAAGGTCACTGCCCACACAAATGTGAGTTTCCAGATGAAAGGCAGCACAAATTCGGCTTTTGCGTCATCAAACTGGAATTAGGTTCTGGAAACATCTCAAATGAATTCAAGCAGCTCTGTTGTGTTTCTCAAGTGAAAAAACACTGACAGCATGAATGCTAGCTGAAACCAGAAGGAAAATAAACAAAGTTAGTCTTCTGCTAATACAGCAAGTGGTTTCTGTTCTCAGGCATAGCCAGAGGGCATCTGTGGGCCCCAAGGTTCACATTTGGGCCAGTCAAGCTCCGAGGCAGCAGCAGAGTCTCAGTGGTGCCATGAACAGAGGCACCTGGGAAGTGCCTCAGCCTCAGAGGGCTGCACAGGCAAGGTGCTGTTTGTCAGGTTTCACAAGAGTCTGAAATCCAGTTTCTTCCACAGCCTTAACACCAGCTGAATGTGTTTCAGCACTGTTTGTATTCTTGGGACAGGACCTTCCCCTTCTGGAGTGAGTGTCATGATTATCTAAAAGTCACAGTGCTCACTGCTCCAGGGGCTCAACAGTGGCACAGCTTCTGCAGGGAGCACTGTCATTGTCAGGCTGCTCAACTGGGTGACACAAAGGGTGTGTTTATTGAAGGACAGCATCCAAAGGAGGGATTTGAACAGAGATCTCTCCTATCCCCTCTAACTTCTGCAGCCACCAGTGGTGCAAGGTATTAGTGGCTCCACTGTATTTTTGGAAGAAAGACCTGGTTTAGATGTCTACACAAAGGAACTGCTCACATTTGTTTTCCCAGCTATCGGGCCAGGATAATTCTAATGAACTGATGAACAGAAGATCAAATGAAGGCAGACCCTGAAAAACTGCTTCACACCTGAAATTTCCATCTCTTGGCCCAAGCCACGCTTTCTAGGGGTGTAAGTACACACTGCCCTTCTTGGCACTAGTGTACTTAATTCCTTGGTTCCAGGAATCCAGGTTGATTAAATCAGTTTCTGCATCAGAGCGTGTGTCCTGTCCCCCTACAGACTGGCATGTGTCTTAGGACAGTAACTGAAATTAAAGAGTCAGTGTCATTTGATGGTACCTAACAAAAGGGAATTTCTGTACCAGTACATACTCACAGTGTGGTTTCTAATGACACCTGCTACATGATTCATGCAGGCTGAATGTCTGATCTAGAGCAACCTTTATGGATTATTAGAAAAGAAGTATTTTTAAGTGCTGAAAATATTTTAGTAATATGGCTTTTCTCATTTCTAGCTCAGTGTTTTTAAGATGATAAAATGCAGAGGATAATTATAGTGGAATATAATAAGCAAAATTTGTCTCTCTTCAAATTGAATTTATTGGCAGGGGGCCTGGCCAAAGCTGACATCAATGTTCTTTTCAAACAGTATTTGCAATTTGAAGCAAATTTTAAAATTAAAATGCTGTAGTGGAGGAAAAACAATCATGTTAGCAAATGAGAACACTGGTTTGCTGTTATTTGGGTTTGTTGGTTTTGCATGGTCACTTTTGGGCTCCTCTGTACCAAATACAGACCTTGTTCCACATTTAAGCCATGCCAGCAGCAGCTTATTTCTTCAGGGCAGGAGAGAAGTTAGCACAGCAATCACCACTGGGCACTGCCTGCCTTGCCAGGGGAGAGCTCACTACCAGCAGCAGCTGTAGCAATGGTGAGCTGCTCCCTGGAACTCCATTTCAAACATGCAGACACACACATTCTGCCCCTGGAAGTCACTTACCAGCTCCAAAACCACTGAGCTGGGCAATCTCAACTACTTTTTGGTGGCATGAAATTCCACAATTCCTAAGTTTGGACAAGTTTCCATTATTGTATGAGTAAATAAGGATTACAAATGTCTTCCTCCCTAACTCAGATATCTAAGTTTTCTGCAAGTCCTGAAGATCTGAGAATTAAAATAGTCTTCCTAATTCCAATTAAAATTTCATTTTTAATAGTGGTTATTGACAGAGCTAGTTATTAGGATTACTTTCATCTTTATAGTTAAGAAACAGAATTTAACGAAGTTAAGAAGTGAGAAAGAAATTAAGTACACATTTTTAAAAACAGGCATTTCCTCTGGTTAATAAGCTATCTGAAAAGTTCATCAGAAGTACATAAAATTGTTTTCTAAAACTGAAGACATGTTTAAGATTACAAATAAATTATCCCAATGTTTTTCTAAGATATAGGAGATTATTTCCCTTAATAAATTAGCCTGACTACTAAATGAGGTTAGGATACTTCTCTCTTATAGCCATGCTACTTTCATTGCTAAAAAGCAGGATGATTTCTTGCCCTCTTGACATGACAGCACATGCACAGTCAGTGGTCACAAGGGACAAAGACACTCCCATTATCTTCACAAAGCTCTCTAAAAGCTTTGTTTCAAATGCTGAAGAAAGGTAGTGTTGTATGCAGTAAGGTGTAAAAAAACTCAAATAAAACTGTTTGGAGATCTGTGAGATTCCTCCAAGGAAAGGAGCACCAACTCCTAAACAAAACACAACCAAGAGGGATGGATGCTGTCACTTCCCCAGCAATGCACACGCCCCCTGGCTGGTCCATGTTTCCCTTTCAGCAAGTTATGCAAGGAGAACAAATTAGAATGATGAGTGATCTGGTGTTTATTCCTGCCATCTTCTCCTAATAACAATGGGGTGCACTGGTTTGGATTTGAATGTTCAAGATCCTGCACTGTAACTAAACTCACTGCCTTTAGCTTCTTACCCCAAGATACCTCTAAAGATGAAGGCAACTGGACTAAAACAGATGAACTGTTTTAATGCTCAGTTAACTTCCTACTCATCCACAACTGAAACCATGATTCACAGATTTCTGTGCAAGACGAAAGTAAAATTACGGAAAAATGTGCAAAAAGGAAGTGTAATTTACAGACTCAGAGATTAGCATTTTTATACTGTCAAAACATGCATGTCCATGATGTTCAGTGTAACCTGACATTCATTACATCTGTTTCTCTGAAATTAAGCCAAATGCAGAGTGGTTCTGAAGTTTAAGTGTTAACAAGCTTGTGTGCTTCGGTGAGTGGGGTCAATGAAAAGCAAAGAACAAAAGAACAATCAGGAACTTAGCTTAGCTTTTCTCAGAGAGAAATTGAGGGACTGTGCTTTGGTTTGTTTTGAAAAAGACTGTCCTGTTAATACTGCACCACCCTCTCAGCTGCAAGTTCTCTTTACAGGGATAAATGGATCTAGAGATCTTTCAGTGCAGCATGACAGGCACCTTAGACATTGATGTTCCAATGTTTCATGTATACAAAGACATTTTATTTCAGTTTTGGTCCAACAGAGTTTTCTCCAACTTGTCCAAAGATTCATTATTTATTTCAATATTCTCTGAACACTCATTCTGTATTTCAGTACTCTCTGAATGTTGCTATCTCAGTGACAGTCCTAATTCATGTAAGACTTCAGTGTCACATCAAACATTTCAGCAGCAACAGCTACTCACAATTCCTCTTTCTAACAGTTGTAAGCCAGCACATGCGAGCAGGAAAGTGTGGATGCAATAAAACACTAGGGAGCATTGCCTGAATTTTGACAGCTTTATAAATAGAAAGAGCTGAACCTAAGGATCACAAAAATTGGGAGTGATAAAAAAGCATCTCACTATAAGGATAGGGCTTCTGCCATATCAGATATTTCCCCCAAAACAGGCAAATCAAACATCTAAGTTTTGTTCTAATCTTTATTGCTTGGTTGATAATAATCTCTGAGGCAAGGAACTGGAATGCTTTCATAAGAGCAAAGCTTGTTTTTTCCCTTTAAAATCTCACTAGTTTTAAATCTAGAGTATTTTAAAGAAAGGTTAACCTGTTCTTAACAACTTTACTTTTTGATATCAATCAAGCCACACGTCCCTCTTATTTTCAAAAAGTCATCAGTAAATCTGAAGTATTTGAAGATTCACAAAATTAAAAAAAGACACTTACCAAAGGTAGTTCTGCATTCCATGTCCCAGTCTCGTCAAGTTTGTTGGTTCTTGATTTTACCTAATCTGTGTTTATCAGAACAGAATCAATTTTAGATGCTTTCTGTGCCTAAAATAGCATTTTAAGAAAATTTCCAGTATTTGCAATTATTATTTTACCTCCTCAGTTTCCAGTGCAGTACCTTCCTCTCAGGCATTTTGTCACCCTTTCATTAAGTGATGCAGATATGTAACCACTGCCTTCTCATCCCTCTGGTTCAAGAAGTGTGACATATGCTACATGATGGCTGCACTAAGCAAAACAGGAGACCATAAAGAAAAATATCCAGCAATGCTATGGCACATTACAGGCTATACACTGTGGAGAAGCTGTAGCTCAGCCTTTCTGAGCTTAGTCCTTATATACACAGAGAAACTGTAACAGACCCTAAAAAAAAGTACATATTTTATTGGGAGCTGGGGCAATGGACAGAAGGCCACCTACAAATTTTAAGAAAACATAAATGAATAGTATTTCCCTTTCCCTAAACCCTCAATCTGGGAAAAATCTGTAGACTATGTACTTCTATAGACAATAAGCCAACTCTCAAAATTACCAAACTGAGCTAATGCTTCCAAAATCCTAGAGATTCTTTATAGATTAATTAATCCCACTAAAATACTTCTGGTAGGAAACCAGTCATTTTAATAGGAAAGGTGCATCCAGTATTGTAAAACATTTGCAATATACAGTTTTTACAACAAGTAATACACTACTGTAGATCTACAAAAATTTTTTTAATAAGCTTGGTTCTTTAGCTTACGATCCTCTTTAAATAAATATTTAACAAAAGAATCTCCCTTCTAACAATGGAACCAAGACCACAGATAAAAAGAGTGTCAACCACATTGCAAAAATGCTACAACAAAGCCCCTTTCACCCTCCAGTCTTGTGACAGCAAATCCTGCAGTTCTTCTTCATCTTCACTCCCAACATCCTCCTCCTCTTTCTCTTGTGCTGCTTTTAATCTCATGGCTTCCTTTAACTTCTCCTTTATCTCGTCCTGGCGGTTCCGCAAAAGCTCCACACGGCGGTAGCACTCACTGTAGGAAAGTGAAACACTGTTAACATCTGGGGCCTTTCCAAGTAATGGCATCACCTCCAGTGCCGGATTTTGCTTCTATAACTTTGGATAAAGAAGCTTTACAGCTTCCCAACAGTGAAAAAGAAATAAGCTTTCAAGATGCTAGTGCACCTTCTCAGTATTCTCCAAGTGAAAACAGACTGAGGAGAGGCTTGGTCAATTCTCTAGCAGTGAGACCTGATCCAAATACTTAACAACTGCAATACAGTCACAGACCATTTTTCAAAAAGCACAGAACCAATATCCACTTCCACACAAAAAGGAACGCCATTCTTTGCTCCATTTATGGTTTTCAAGAGGGAAAGATGTGACATCAGTTATCAATTTTGACAATCTAGTGGTGGCATCTCTGAAAATAAAAAAAGCAGTACAAAGTGTTCAGATTCTTTATCTGCTTCCTCTCTGCTGTAACAGAACATTTTAAGTAAACACAATCCAAAAGTTTCAGGTTACTATTCACTTTAAAAGTTCTGTCCTTGAATTGTGTTTTATAACCATTCTAGCCACTTCAAATAGGATTTTTTTTGAAAATGCCAAGTAGTACCAGCCTGATTTAAATTCTCCTTTGCCCCTTTCATTCTTATTTGCTCGGAAGGGTCAACATGGAGGAGTTACTGCCTGGATCCTGTCTCCCCTGGCATATTACCAATATGATTCTTACACAGCTGAAGATTTGAAGGCCAAGGAACTTATTCCATTTTCAACTTAATTTGAAATGGCCTGCATTTGAATACACTCAGAAGTCAAACGTTACAAAACGTCTTTAAAAATGTGTTTGGAACTTTTATTTTGGGGAAAAATAATTACAGTTAAAACTTGAAGTATTCTACAAATTTCTGCATTTGTTTCTATGTACTTACAACAGCCTTAGTTAGTGAGAAAAATAAGTCCTTAAAGAGAGGCAATTTAGCTCAAGCCCTCTTCAGAATTACACTAACATTGTTAAAAGGCATTCCTGTAATAGCAAAGTTCAGTTTGAACCTAATGCTGTTGTTACCATACACTGATTATGTGCAGCATGTAAATCTGCCCAGAGGGTTGAAGTGAAATTTCTAGTGCCTTTCTTTATGAGTTGCTACCATTGCCATTATCACTGTTAATATCAGTGTGTTGAGCTACAGGAAAATGGTAACAAACTGTTCCACTGAGCTGTATTTCAGGTTGCTTGAGTTTAAACCAATGCCCATCCAACCACCACACTCCCCATTTCAGCTAAACAAATACAAACAAACTGCTTCATGTAATGAAGTGCATCACTCCACAAAACCTTAAACTTCTACTAGAATTAAAGAGGGTTTTCCACAGCACAGGACATTTTCAGTACAGGAAATGTTCCTTTAAAATGTTCACATATATTCTACATCAATCAAAACTCCCAGGGAAATACAAATTAAGACATTAAGCCACCTGACAGGGGAAGAGGGACAGTTTGTTCCAAGAATTTGCCTTGTGTACCTTCAGTGATTCCAGTGCATTCTCTCTTTGGAGAAAGTTACAAAACTTTGTGTCAAAATCCATGTCTTTATTAGGTATCATTCTGCAATTTGAGAGAGTCTGTCCTTCAAATACTCAGATGATTAATGAAAGGTAGTATCGCAGATTAGAAGCGTTTTTATCACTCCAGTCAAAGAGCAATCCATTACTGCTAGAGGACAGAGAATTTGAGGAAAAATTGATCTACTTACATCTGCTCATCAATTTCTCCAATCTGGCGATCTAGTCGTCCCTCCTCATCATCTTCTGCCACTATTGCTTCTGAAATCTAAACCAGAAAAGCACTGAGAAAATTCACCTTCATCCTGAATTCCACTTCCACTCCTTTACAATGTCTGTGTCCTCCCCTGCTCCCCTCCACCTGAAGTTAGTGTCAATCTCCTCTATGTATATTCCCATCTTTAAAAGGGCAAATACAGAAAAAAAATGGTCTGGTTTAATTTGACGTGGAAATGCTTTTTCTTAAAATCAAAAGAATTTTGGCTGCTTTGGGGTTACTCTTTAGAAATTTTTAATACTCTATGATTTGAAACTGAGCATAAGCAAACGACACATACCCACAGTCTGAGGCTGAAACAAGAGCTCTATCCCAGTGCTTGGGACTTAAATACACACCACTTATTGAACATACTGTTTAAATATTCCCACTGGATCCCGAAGTGTTTCTAACCTGTTATTTTTTTCAGCATATACTTTCTCAAATCTGAATGTCTGGGAGATGCTATGCAATCAATGGTCCACGCATAACTGAGAAGATTCCTCCTAAGCTGAAGAATTATCTGAATGGCTTATGCTAGCAAAATGTATCCACCACTGCTTTTGTATGAACATTTGCTCTGTTTATAGTGCTGACTGCTTTAAAATGAGCAATGAAACATTTTTCTGCACCACCTTCTCAGCAGTTGACATATGAGTAACTATTTACAAATAAAATAATTAAAAGGATAGCAAATATTCTAGGGGAAGACTGAGAACACAGGTAATCTTTAAATTGTACAGAAGGGCAGATAAACACTTGCTGCAGGAAGACTTTCCATGCAATGGTAAACAGTAAAAAATTGAAGTACAGAAAAACTGGCCAATTTCCGTGTCTCAAAACTCTTTTGTCACCTTCCCAGATTTTGGAGTTCCTTTCCAGTGCATTTAAATTAAACATGAAATCCAGGTTACCTACACTTTATAGATACTTTTCTAAAAAGACAGACAAATGGGTAGTGTTTTTAACAGTATGAATATAGAGCTAAAGAAGAGCCCACAGTTGTGTCCTGTTTGAATACAGGACACTGATCTGAGGTATATGCTAGCTAAACAGTATTTAAATAAAATACAGTGTAACAAATGTAACTAGATACATATGACTGGATCTTCATTAAAAGTTCTCATCTTAATTTCATTTAAGTGGAAAATACAAAGAACCCTTTGCTCATTTATAAAGTGCATTTAACCACACACTGCATTGAAACAACCAGCTGACAAATGCAGATGTCAGCCATTCTGCAGAGCTGCATGAAACTGTTGTTTTCCTTATTGTGTATAGTATTTAGAATCAATAAATATAGATTCCATTACTTACTGTGTTGACCTGTCGCATTGCCTTTTGAAATTCATCCCATTCTTTGTCCATCTGATCCTTTGGAGCATCAACTTTTCTCACCTAAAGAACATGAAAATTTATAAATTAACAATTTAAGTCTAATGACTCTTTGGGGCACTGTAAAAAAAAAACAGGAGAAATATGAAAAATTATGCTGTGTTATCAGAGAAGTCTGGTTGATGTATTTCAGTTTAAGTAATGGATATGAGTGAGAGAGTGCAGCTGCACAGTGGTTTTGGAAGAAAAATCTGACTCTGCTCCTGGATTAATCAACATCCATGACTGCAGCTTTAAAGAATAAATATTGATTAAAAGTGGCTGGTGTGGAATGTCTGGAGTAACAGAAGTGAGTTTGATGGTCTGCCATTTCACTGTGTCAGGTGATAACTATTGAATTCTTCTGTAAGCTGCCTGTACAATTGCATACAGTAGCCATTTCAAGCCAAAAAGCAGTGAATTGTTTGCCTTTGGCACAACATAAAATATCAAACCTTTCAGTCACTAGTCTGCTGGTGTTAAATAGCCTGACTATTTCAAATCTAGTCTAATTTTGTTGGCTAACAGAAGAAACCATACAGCTACAAACCAATTTTAATGACATGCAAAGCTTTTTATTTTGTGGTAGATGGCATTTAGAGATGAAGTCTGAAAAAACAGTCGTGGTAAGAATGTGTTTAAGATCTACAGCCAAGGTAATCAAAGCCAGATTGTGCTTTTAATGCAAATAAATAAACAAGGTAGTCTACCTGTGTAATTGAAACCTACACCATTCAGGACTGGAAGATGTGGCATATAATGTATTTTAGAGGACAGATTATGCCTGACTCAGGACTGGGTAGAAATTATATAGCTAGGAGAACTAAGCAGTTTGAACATAATAAGTCATGACACCATCTTTTTGCATTAGTTTTATTTTCCCTTTATTCATTCTGCTCTTTTGGTGACATGTCAGTCATCACCTTAGTAAAGACAACAGTTTGGTGTGTTTTGTTCCTGAGTGATTATACAAAATCAAGTAGTATGAATTAAGTTTATAGAATAAATTAGAAGCTTCCAAGCAAACTCATACTGGGAAGTAATAGTCATCATTTCATTTTTCTGTTCTGTTATTATTTCTATCATATGTGTATGTACTGTGTTATTATGCATTGTGGTTGTCTTTTGTAATTCATAATTATTTGTATTTCTTACAATAAATTTAAACACTAAAGTTATTATTTTTCTTGAAATATTTATCTAACCCAGAATTTATATGCTCTACAAGTACCTGATGCAAATAACAAGCATTTTTCACACCCACAATCTCCCTTTCCAACACCCAGTTAATTCTTAAAATAATTATTTTGTGTATGATTCCAACACAGAACCACTGTAGCCACCTCAACATAAGTGATGTCACAAACATTTTCCTCCCTCTGAGTATTAGTTACACTCAGAAAGGGCTCATTAAAGGAAGAGCCTCTCCAAGCAATTCAATGGAACAAGTAATCACTTGTAAATTTATCAGTGGAGGCAATAACCAGAACAAAGGTCACTAACCAGTGTCCTCACAGATAAAAGCAGATTCTCCTTTCCTGCTAGGCCTTCCTGCATTCCCTACTTACGATGAAACTAAGTATTTGAAAAATTTACTACTTCAATTAGACAAAAACACAAACAAAACAAAAAAACCCGCAAAAAAACAGCCAAAGGATGGCTTTTTCAGCTACATATTTCAATATTCAAAATATCATTATTCAAAACTATTCACATATAGCAACACCTGGGCATGAGTAGTGCCAAAAGAGTCTTGCCAGAGCAAATAAAACACCTAAGCTTGTTAGCTGGGCCAGTGGGACTAAATGAAGATGAAGGAGCATTATTCGGAAGGTCTCCAAATTAGATGTCATGGCTTGGCCTCACAATGCCATTTAAACACACCAGCAGCCTTCCACTGTGTGAACAAGAAAATGTACTCAAAGAAAATAAAAAAGACTTAGGCCTACAGCACTGTATTTCAAAAGAAAGCAAGAAAGCCATCAAATCTGTGGCAAATTTGACAAAATGAAACAAAAAAAGGTTTGTATTTCAAATACCAGTGTTTTATTTTGGTCATCGTTTGGCACCAGGCAAGCTGAAGGAAGTATGAATGTTTTGGATTTCAAGATTTTTTGTTGAGGGGGGTTTTTGAGAAAGTTTGAGAATTTGAAGGTGAATAGCCACATTTCTTTTCTGAGCATCATAAAACCCCCAGGTGGTAAAAGACAAGAGGGCTGAAGACCAGGTTCACTCTTGTGGTGTAACCAGCACTAGAGATGACAGAGTGTGCCACATGGAGCTGCTTTCACTCCAACAGGATGCACCCCATCAGTCTCACAGTGACTCAACACTTTTCAGCAGGATCTCACAAAGGACATTCAAGAACTATTATATCCCCAATTCCAAAGCAAAACTGAATGTACAAATTAAGTCAACTGCTTTTCCTGGGATGACTCACAGAAATAAAGGTACATTGTCCAAATGTCAGTTCAGTATTCCAACCAACAAATGACATTTCTTTAAGAGTCACAGAGGAACCATAATCAAAAATATTTTCCAAGAGATGGCTTTAACAAGCTCTTCCTGCCCACCTCCATCCCTTTTCATGTTTTCTCATTCACACAGAATGAACATTTAAAGCTGCACCAGGGGAGGGTCAGACTGGGGAGTAGGAAGAAGCATTTCTTACCCAGAGGGTGGGCAAACACTGGAACAGCCTTCCTGGAGAGGTGGCCAATGCCCCAAGCCTGTCAGTGCTTAAAAGGCATTTGGACAGAGCCCTTAGGAACGAGTTTTAGCTTCTGTTCAGCCCTGAAGTTTTCAGGCAGTTGGACTAGATTATTATTATAGGTCACTTCCAACTGAAATAGTTTATTCTAATCTAAATAGTTCAATCATTTTGTTACATTCCAGTATGACTGATTACCTGGAAAAGCATCCTTACTACTCAGCAAATCATTACAACTGGCAGAAATAAATCCAGTAGCATAAAACAAGGAGATCACTTACTTTTGCATCCACTTCAGGATCATCAAAGAAACCTTCTGGCAAAGCTTCAGCAGTGTTTTCTTTTCTGAAACATTTGATTACTATTAGCCCAAGTTAACACTTTACAATCTGCTTCATTGCAGAGTTAAAAATAGTCAAAAATGAAATTCATAATCCTTTGTGTAAGTATGCAGAAACACAGCAGGTTTTTTTAGTCATTAGTTTTTTTTATCTACAGCCATCAAAACCTCCTCGTTCAGCTTGATCCTTCCTTGCTTTGAAGGAACTGCACAGAAAGGTTTAAATCTCACTGTTAAAACAAGAACTGTAGCTTATGCTTCTTAAACTGTTCTTTCCAGTGTGCTGAACACCCAAACACTGTAACAGCACAGCTGCTACTTCTGAAAGACTACAGCACAGTCTGAAGGAGTGCTCAGGTGAGCTGAACCATTACCACACAACAAGCACTTTCCTTTAAACAGGAAAGCAGTGGTTGCATGAAGCTCCCACAGTACCCTGTGTTAAAATTTGCAAGAGATGTCAAACAGACTCTGTATGACATTGCTCCCTCTCTTCTCCTGTCCCTAGGGTGCAAGATACCTGTCTGAAATAATGCCTGAGGCTCACATATATACAAACTATTCTGAATGCAACATAACAATAAGTTCTAAGGGATCACAGTCTCTATTTCCTGGAAGACAAATGTTTGCTTACAATTGCTAAGACTATCAATATTTGATTTGACTTCTTACCTTTCAATTACCTTCTCATGTATCTCTGCTTTCTGTATGGATCCTGAATGGGAAACTATAGGAGCAGCTGGAGTTTTGGTGTCAAAAAAGTCTATAGGAAAGAACAGAAGTCTATGACAAAAAGAACAGCTGTTCAGGCATTTTCTAAAATTCCTACTACACAGGAATTTCAGTTGGTACCTTACTGAATCAAGGGAAGAACAGACAGATGTTACTTCCCTTGGCAGCCTCAAACAACTAGAACATAAAATCAATGAGCAATCACCACACAATAACACGAGATTCTTTGCTAGTTTATCTCTACTTCCAGTATTACACACCCTCACCATCACCTAATGCAATAATTAGAAAAATAAAAACCTTTCATCATCAGTTACATCACAGCTTCTCCTTACAGAGAATTACTATTAATTACTAAGAATTACTGATTACTATTTCAGTCAGCATTACCTGCAGGCAGAGAATTAGCTATGACTTCTTGAGTTGGAGGTGGAATTTCAGTTTTACGCACAACAGAAGATTTGCTTGCTTGTTCTTGCTCCTCCTCTTCTTCATCATCGTCGTCATCGTAATTCCCTGACAACAAACTGGGACCTGGGCCCTTGGAAAGCTGTACACTGGCACTGTCTGGCTGTGCTTCATCAAAAAAATCTGCTGGCAGCCTGGTAAAGAGCCCACAACACAACTGTCAGAAACGTCACAGCAGCAACTCCAGCCCAGGCCCTGTGTGAGAGCCTGAGCAACGCCCTGAATGGCACAGGTGCCAACACAGCCACTGTCTGAAGGCAGCACACGCCTGGGGCTCTCATTTAAAGTTCCCCAGAAATGCCCAGGTTAATTCTAAAAATATATTTTAGATCCATTTTTCCATTTGCATATTCACATTATTAAAAATAACCCGTAACAAATTGGAATAGTGGTTAAAGTAATTCTTTTTCCACCTACTAAGTAATTTGCTACTTATTTTGGGTACCTAGTGCTGTCCAGGACTGCAATTTAGAACAGCGACACAGGCTCAGCAATGAGAAAACACAGATTTGCTGGAGTAGCTGCAGCCTGCAAGCCAAACATTTTTCACCTTATATTTTAAACTAATTATATCAACGAGTTCAAAAATGGACAAACCTCTCAAGTGTTAATTTTGCACACAAACTCAAATTCCTTCAAGGAAACAGCAAGTGGTACCTATGAAAGGCAGTAATTTATCCTGTGAAGTGCAGAGGAGACCCACAAGTGTCACCTGACATCTGCCCACCCTGCAAAGATGTCTGAATACCATCAGAAACTTTTAGGAGCAGTTGAGATGCTTAACCCAACCCCCTGAAGTCAAATACAGCCCTATATTTGTACAAGTTCAACTGCTGCATATGCACCTACATGAATTCTAGGTGACAAAAACCATCCTAATGAAGATCTGTCACTTGTTAGTAGTTTTTGTTAATAAATGTCATTGAATTATACATTGAAAATTTGTCTTAATTTCAGACTGACGCCTCTTCTTTAGGATGTCAGCATTATTAGAATACATGCTACAATCTGGTTATGTTCAAGCTGTGTAATAGCACCACGTGTCAATCCTTTAAAGTCTGTCAGTGACAGTAAAATAATTCCTGTTTTCTCAGGGCATCTTAAGAGTTGATAAAATTATCTCCACACAGGAAGATGCTGCCACGTTCAGGACTATACAACTGTGCTAGGGAACAGGCAGAAGCAGGGATCTGCTGACTCTCTGAACCTTTGCCCTTGTACAGAAAGCAGAGACAAGAAAGAGCTGGATAAGAATGCAGCCATTGTTAGAAAAAATTCCTAGGTAATAACAAGATCTACTTACCCTGATGAAGACGTGTGTGGCTTTTCATCTGTACCTGTACAACAGCCAAGAGAACTTCTTAAAATCCATGCTTTTAAAAGAAACATCCCTAAGGCTTCTATGACAGCACCAAGTCCCCAAATGCATACATATTTAACATATATATTTACATGTCTGGTAGCACCAAGGGAACAAATTAACTGTCTTTCCTTTGGCAAGAACTTTGGTGCATGGTTTGAGGAAACCCAGTGACTTGATTCCACTGAAAAGGAGTAACACCACTTCTGGGCAAGTGCTCCTACTGCTTAATTTACACTGCTTCTCGATCTATCTGGGCCAAGCCCACAGTTCCATGACCTAATTTAACCCAGTAACACAGGAGAAAACCAGGTAAACTTCCAAAAGTGCTGTTTTCTCCTGACACAGAACTCACAGAGAAAGAGTAAGCAAACTTTTTCCCTTTTCAGCAGCAATGGGCTGACATTAACTGAACAGTCTGGTGTATTCATTAACTGTTCATTTACTCAACAGTCTGGTGTATTCATGCTCATTTCCACAAGAACAAAACAAACCAAAAACCATCAAGATGTAAAATGGACGGATTCTGGCAAGCATTTCCCTCTCATTACCTTTTACTCTCTTTAGGTCTGTATTTTCTGTCTCAACTGTTTTTCTCTTGACAGGATGAGAGGATGTGCCAGCAGCTGAGCCAGTGGCCGTCTGCTTTGTGCCTTTTAATTCTGCAACTCTCTGTAAAGAAATAAAAATTTGGGGCACGTTACTAGCAGTAACTTCTGGATTGCAGCTTAAAATACAGAATGAGCTTTTACAACAGTCATCAAAGTGAGCTGATACCTTTTTAGAACAGTATCACTGAAATAGACACCCCAGGTACCAAAACAAAGACCAGTGTTTCTGTCAGCCTCTGGAATGATGTGACATGGAGGAAGAGGAACAGACATTCACACAAGGGAGGCTGTACCAGTAGAAAAGACAGAGCAGTGACACTGACAGCAGTAATGCACTGGAGAAAAGAGTAGGAAAGCTGGATTTATTCTAAAGTCCTGGAATATTAAGTGTTTTTAAATAAAAACATGACATTTTAACATCATGAAAGATGTCACTCTGCTTTGCCACAGTCATCTCATCTGAATGCAGGCAATGAACCCCCTCAGTTCCTTTGGTCTTTTCCTGAGTACTTGTAAAATTAAACACAGTCTTTCAGTTTTTGCTAAGAAGTAGCAGCAGAACTTAAAAGGATTAAAAAAAAATTGGACCGCATCCAAGTTACAAACTCCCTGACTTGCTTCACAAGTTCTTTATCTTTACTACTGAATTACAAAGAGGAAAAAAAAAAAGTGCATTTTCTTAACCCCGCATAAGCTGTCACTGGACAGCTCACAGATCCCCGAGCAAGCCCGGGGAGGCGGAGGGGATGGGTCCAAGTCCGAGCTGCAAACAAGTGACAGCCCAATGCTGTCGCTACGGTGGGAACTGCTTCACCGGAGGAGCGGAACCCTGAAGGACACGGGACCCCCTTTCTAGGGGCTGCCTTTACTACCCCCGCCCGGGCTTTAAGAGAACAGAGGCCAGACGGAACAGCCAGGCTGGTTCCCCCCCTCATCCCGGCGGGCTCCCCGCCGCTCCCGCTGCCGCACCGAGCCCGGAGCACCGAACCGCAGACCCCGTTCCGGCGGCGCGGCCTCTCCCCAGCGCCTCCCCCTCCCAAGCGCTGTCCCGGCGCTTCCCAACCGCAAAGCCCGGCCGAGACCCTCCGCAGCGCCCTCACCTCCCGGTGCTGCTTGCCCAGGACGTGGGTCTGCCACAGCAGCTCGCTCTTCACGGGCGCGTTGCACAGGGAGCAGCTCAGGTGCCCCAGGCTGTTGTACGTGCCGGCCGCGTTAAGGGAAGCACCGAGCGGGGCGCGGACCCCCTCCCGCCACCCATCCCTCCCAGCCGAGCTCTAGGGTGCGCAGGATATTTGGCGAAGGGCGAGTCGATGCGCTTCTTGCCGGCGTTCTGGCGCTGCTTCTCCCTCATGAGGCGCCGCAGCTCCTCCTGCCGCACCTGCTTCCGCCCCGCGCCCGCCCCGGCCGCCGCCATCTTCCCCCGGCGCAAGGGCGGGGCCGGCGCGCCCCGTGACGCTACCGGGAGCGCCGGGAAGGGAGGGGCGGGAAGGGATCCGTGTCCTTTCTCGGGATGTTCTTTCGTGTGTTACTAAAGAACATAGTGGATGTTCTTTAGTGGATGTTCTTTATTTAAGCCTTTAGAGCACCAACAGAGCTCCACGGACACAGCAGTCCAGCTGTGGGACACGGCTCTGAATAAGCTGCCTGAAACGTACCCCACCCCTCACGCCAAACCACCCAGATAAGTAAAAAATAATAAACATTGCATCCCATACGTCCAGATCCAGAAAAAACAGAATCACGGGGTGGTCGGGTTGGAAGGCATCACAGTGGGTCATCTGGTCCAACCTGCCTGGCACAGGACTGTGTCCAGATGGCTCTTTAATATCTTCAATGAGGAAAACTCCACAGCCTCCCTGGACAACCTGTTCCAGTGCACGGTGTGCAACACAACCGTGTTAAGTACTTCATGTTATTTAAAAAAAAAAAAAAAAAAACCAACCAAAAAAAAAAACCAACAAAAAAAAAAAACCAACCCAACTTTTTAAAAATTCGGTGCCATTGCCAATTCTGGGAACACTGAAGGCCCCAAATCAGGCACCCTCCAGTATAGTTTTTATGAAGATCACCCAATGCAGGGAAGAAAGATGCATCTGACTCCATGGATTCTGAAGGCTAATTAATTACTATACTATACTATACTATACTATACTAAAGAGATACATACTTTACTATATCATACTTACTTCTTCTAACTTACTTCTAACTACTACTTCTAACTACTACTTTCTTCTACTACTACTCTGCTCGAGAGTCCTGACCCACACACATGGATCCAATTGGTCACCTCGGGTAAACAATCTCCAGAATACATTCCACTTGCACACAAACACAGAAGCAGCAAATGAGGTAAGAATTGGTTTGATCATTCTTTTCTCTGTTTCTTCAGGAAAAACCCTGAGAGAGAGAGAATTGTCTCTCTCTGTTCAGAGAATGTGAATCCCACACTCCAGGAGGCCCCGCTCACTGTCCTGCATAGCACACACGGCAGCACCAGCCAGAGCCCTGTGTGCCTTCTCCACTAAAATACAGCCCAAATACAGAATTTAGTGACTACAACATCACCAAGGACAGCAGAGAACTTTCCATATTTTATTTTTATCTTTTCATTTATCACAGTACAATAACGTGAGTTAACCAAAAAAAGGAAAAAAAAAAAATCTAGTGCCAACTTCCACGGTGTCAAGTGCTCCACTCCAAACCATGAGTGTCCATTAGAAGTCAAAAAGTGTTGCTCCAGGCTTACAGTGACATTACCTTCCAGAGGACTTGGTCATGGAGGTTGCCACTATAATTTTGTGCTGTTTCCAGAGAGCAACTCATCCCATGGCTCCAGACTCCACATTTCCCTGAGTCAGGTTTGGTTCTTCTCACACAAGCCCCCACGGGATCTGGGAGAGAAAAGGGGCCACGGGCATGTGCAATTCAATTTCCATTTTGATAAAAGACAAATCCTATGGTACATTTTGCCAGGATGGCAAATCCAAGGTCTGTAAACACAGCCAGAGCAACACAGCAGCTGGAGGAAGACGATGGGATAAGTGCAACTAAGGCAAAAGGGAGTAACTTCTGTTTTGACACGATCATGGCAGATTGTTGGGCTGAGGAAACGATTCAGTAGCGAAACAGGTATCACAGTACACCTGAACTACAGAATCAGTGAGACTATCGCTTAAGCTTGATTATTTATACTTACAAACTCTGAAGAATATTTAAAATCACATCTTCCTTCCCCTTCCTCCCACAATTGCAGTCTGCTGCACTTTTGAAAAGCACAGACGCTGGCTTTTACTGAATTTAAGGCTATTCTGACAAAAAAATGTTTTCAACTCTGCTCTCCAAAACTAAGTATAAAAGTCAATTCACTCTAGAATGTCTTGGATAATTCTAAATACAACCATCTGTTCTCCAAAACAAATCAGCTCATTTTTATATTTGGAAGACAAAACAATTTATACTGCAGAAGTTGGTCTTCATACGCATACTTCTGTCCTGGAGACCAAACCGCTTAGCACTGCAAGGTAAATGTGGCTCAGGACACCCACCCTCTGCTGAATACAGATGTGCTGGTGGGAGAGGTTCACCATAACCCTCTCTGCCTCAGAGTACCAACCATCAAAAGATCTGCTCTGGAACATGCTGAAGTTAATCCACCTTGCTCTGAGACAGGCTGAGGATGTACTCACACAAGCACATCCAAGGAAGCAGCAATTTCTGGGAAAGACTGTTGGGAAGACAATGTCTGCCTGTAAATGTTCTCACCCAAGAGAGAAATCTACATAGGAACAGCAGAAATGGACACAGTCCTGGCCATGACCACAGCTCTCAGCTCTCTCCATGGGCACAAGGACATTCTTGCTTATTGTACGTGCACCTGTGAAAGCTCAACACATTAGAGCCCACATTTGGGAGGGTGAGGATCCTTTCCATCATAGGAAAGTGGTTGATTTTGCATTCCCTGAATTAGGCAAGTGTTGCTGGTGGTTTGAGTCAGCTGAATCTGGTCCAGAAGCAGCCACAGGATAGGCAGGGCCTCACAAAAATGACTGCAACTGATGCTTCCTCCTCTTAACCCTGAAGTGCTGGGAAAATGCAGCATGACAGACTAGTCAGCCTAGGGAAAAATCTTCCACAGTCCTACCATACCAAATCCTAACATGACAGATAAGGTTCCTAGGAGTTTAGACTATGAAATCTTCCACAGATGCTGATAAGAGAATTTAGTAAGGAAAAAACAGAAGCTTGGAGTAACTGGTTAACAGCAAAAAACATGGCAACTCAAATCTTGGTATGGTCAACCAGCATTTTTAGAATATAAGTGACCCTTTGTAATGCACAGCTATCACTTCATTCCCTTTCAATGGCATTTTTCACTAAAAAAATGTTCCTCCAATTACGAACATCAAAGACAATACTATAATAATAACACTTCAGGTATTATTTAAGCTTTATAACTTATCAGAAGTTAAGATCTTTTTACATACATCTCCTATTTTTATCTTGAAAGGACAGCTAACCTTAAAACATATGGATAATGCCTCACTACCTAAGGGCCAATTCTAAACATTCTCAGTCTGACTCATTTGGGATAAAGAGTTTATTTCTTGCACAGAAAGAGGCTCCTTCCCAGCCCCTGCTTTGCTGGCTGCTGTGTATCTGGCTGACCTCCCAATGAGGAGCATCAGTGAAAAAGCAGCTCCTGTACATTTATGTTACCTACAGGCTGACATGCTCCACAGTCTGCTCAGAACCTCTGAGCAACCACTGCAAAGTTGGCTGCACCCACTCAAATTTGTGTCTCCTGCAAAAGCTGACTTCTCACCTAGCAGAGAAGGTTAAGCACGGTACATGTGTGACTGCAAGACTCAGCCATAACCCTCACACAGATGGCATTGCTAAAATAAACCTGTGTCTCTTTGCAACATGTTATAAAAATTCACTGATTGCCTTAACAGACTGGAATAATCACTGCATTTTCCCATTAAATATAGCATCATGAATTCAGTAAATTCAGAAAAAAGTATTAAAAAACCTTTCAAAATAGCTCCTCAGTTATACCTTGCTTGAACTGAACCCTTGGTATTTGAGCAGCATGAGTAATCTCATTTCATTTCTCAACTCAAGACAGAACACAAATAATAAAAATACAAATAATCTATAAAAACCACAGTACATCAGAAATCTGTGTAAAAAACATACATCTGTATCAAGGAGCTCAGTAACAACTTAAAGCACCACTCAAAATTAAGTACCATACATGTTACAGTACATTCCATTTATTATGACAATTTAAGGCTAAAATAGGTACGACTCCCTTATAGTCAAGCTTTCTTATATTTATAAATGCATACAAACATTAAGTAGATACAAATGTGTAGGGGTTTTTTATTGCTCTGAACTGTCTACTAGAATGTTCAGCTTTCCCAGACGTTGTCTCAGTTTGCCTTTTTCAATCTAGCTGTAGTCCTACAACTGCAACTTATGGCACTTGTACGATTATAGACCTTCTTTGATTTGAGCTGTAAATAAATTCAAAGATATATCAGACAAAACTGCCCACCACTGAAAACTTCATAACTTAGTTAACTAAACTATCTTATTGTCCATAAGATACACAATTCACAAAGATTAGCTCAGCCATTCTTCAGGAAGGATTTCTTTTCAAAATAATAGTTCTAACCAAGCGGCAAACAAGACAACCAGCAAGAAATGATTGACTGGTGCCAGTCTAACAGACTGGGCTTTGAGGGAGAAAAAAAAGGAAGCTGGATATGTGCTCCAAAACAAAGAGCAAACTTTTCTTCTTGCTCATAGAGCAATTATGTTTCCTAATTATGTAAGGCGACGCCTCATTCTGCCAGTGCCAAATTCTTTGACTGCAGCTTGTCCATTTCTTGGCCAATGTTCCCTTCAATGGTATCACACTGGGCAAGAAAAACCTGAGAATAAAAAACAAACAGATGTTATTGGATACAAATTGGCACAGGGAGGTGTTTCTGAAGAGCTGAAAGTGCAGTTTCTATAGTGAATTTGAAGATGTCAACTCAACAACCACTTTCCAGTTGTTTTGGTAATAGCTTATGCACACCTGGATTTACCCAGAATCCACCAGAAATGTGACATTGGATAAGGCTAATAAGGATAACAGCATGGCTGCCCACCATCACCAGTCATGATGCTGAGGAATTTTCACTTCATCCAAAGTTCATGAACAACAATAGGACACACAAAGGTTCAGACAACTTAGTGCTTCATTCAGTTTGGAACATGACTTCTAAGCTCCTCTCTAACACATCCTTCCGAGGCCAAGGCTGGCACAAACCTGCTCAGTCAAATTTAAAACAAGCTTTCATTAAACCAAGATCTTTTCTACTTCTTAAGACTACAAGGCATCATTGAACCTTTATCTTCATCAGTAGCTGGTGTTCCTCAAAAGACAGAAGGCTCCATTCCAAAAAAAGGAGTCCACAGAACCTTACGCTTTCTTAGAACCTGCCCACGAGTTCTCACAAGAGAGCAACTGGCAGCCAGCAGCCCCTGGTCACTTTGCTCAGCCTGTACAGAGCACAACATGACAACACTTTAAGTCAGTAAACTGTTTTAGGTCAGCCCCAAGGTATGCAAGCACAGTGCACTTCCTGAGAAAGATTCTCCCATTAGCTCTTCATGTCTCGCCTTTGTTTTTGCTACGTCTGCACCAGACTCTGACAGTCAAACCAGACATTTCATGTTATTAAATTGACAGTAAGAAAGCACTTTCCTTCTAGAGCAGCAAACTGCTGTGCCATGTGAATGTTCCTCAACCATCACACTGCTTTGAATCATCTGTTTCCAACCAATCCCTTGAGCTGTCATCAAGTCACATCTGTAAGAACTTGAGTGATGAAAAAGTGAAAGTGGTAGCAAACTGCAGTTGAGGGCTGCTACTCTTTCATATTTATCTTCCCACCCTGGAAGATGTGTGACTGCCATCAGTAGAGGGCAGTTATTAGCTCCCCCTTGCTTTCATGGATACTTAAAAATAATAAGCACAACTTGCCACTGTTTTCTTGTTCTTGCTCTGGAAAAACAAACTGTTGTTGACAGCTCTGGTCTGAAACCCCTGAGGATTCTTCTGGAGTCCTCAAAGGGTTCATAACCCACAGCTGCATTATGCTGTGCATATAAAAGCACATAAATAATTCTGATCTCTGCTCAACAGAACCCTTTTTATGCTTTAACAGCAGTTCTTAAACAAAGCCCCACTTACTTCTGCTGTAACTTCACCCAAGAGTGGAGATCCAGTAGCTTCCACAAAGTTGACAGCCACCACTCTATTACAGGTTTTGCTGCCTTGGTTAGGCACATGGAATCAAGAGTGTGTTCAGAACCCCCACGTAACATAACCACACCAGCAACCACCTTCATTCCCATTTGCATTACCCAAACTTATCTCAATAACTGAGTACAAAGTGCTTTGTCCCTGAAGCTGTAACTAAAACCATTTCTCCTATAAAATATTTCTTGGTGGGCCTTCCTCTAAAACAGATGGGTGTTCTAGAAAACTTGTGAAACATCAATGGGAAGTATTTAATGAGGTTACAGTAAAAGACAAAATCATTCAACTCTATATAAGAATGTAAGGTACTTCCACAAACAATTTTGGAGCTCAACCTGGCACTGAAGTTAGCACAACAGAAATAAAACAGTAATACAAGTAGCATTACCATTCATCTATGTAAGTTTGAGTGGAGAGAGCTGAATTCCAGTATTTACTCACAAACCTTCAATTCAAGGTCTCTAAGAAAACAATTTATGAGCATCATACCATAGCAAAGCCATTAAACCCTCCATCCCCAGCACAGCTACTCTGCTGTACAAATCTTAAAGATCTACTCTCTAAAGAAACTTGGTGCATTGCAGTATAAGCTAAATTTTCCAAAGAACACCTCTGGCAAGGTCAGGAGTAGGTCAGCAGGAGTTACAGTTAGCTGCATCCTTGTGCTCTCAGTCTTACTCCGATTCATCAAGATTCAAAAAAGGCGGAATGATCAATCCCATTGTCTTTACAAGTTATCAGGATTACTTCACATCATCAGGCAGCCACAAGACAAACTATTGATGTAAATAACAAAGATTATCTGAAAACAGCATGACCTATGAAAATCTGTATTTTGTGTGCTATTTTACTCAAAGGGAAGTCATACAAAATACCGATGTAAGAACAAACACTGAAAAAATCTAAACAGCTCATTTTTACAAACTTTTGGTGTACAAGTGCCCAGCATTTATGGAAGAAAAAAAAGAAAGAAAACTCACCTGGACCCTCTTCACTAACCCCTTCTTTTTCAGTTTGCAGTCACTGAAATTCTCTGGCAGATTCTGCAGTAAAATAAGCAAACAAGTTGATGCAGGTTAATGCTGAAATGCACATATTAGACTTACAGCAAGAACTGGAATTATCAAAGAATCCTCTGAATGGGTATCCTGCAAATTCCATGCCCGCTCAGAAAGGATGATTACACAGCAAAGAATATATAAGAAAAAGTTATCAAAAAGCCAGGGATGCAGCATGCTGACTGCAAAGAACAGAGACAGCAAACCTACCATGTGTCTTTAGGGAATATACAGCAACAGACTACACACACTGCTTTTTCTGCTGTGGTGTATGTTAACAGTTCTTCAGAGCTTTTTCAGAGATTATAACATGAACAAATTTCCTACAAATACATTCACTAAATCACTTGCCATCACTGGAATGTATCATTAGTAATGCAGTCTTTGCCAGGCTGAGCTGTACATCTGATCATCCCTGCAATGTATTCAGGGAAGGCAACAGATGTGAAGTGTTACACAATGTCAGCTTTTCACTGAATTCAAACTGCATCATTGTCTGTACTCCTGCCACCCATTACATTCATGTATGTCATCCTGGCAAGTGCTACATGCTTTGTCCTTTTCCAGATATGTGAAACTGGGGTGTTACTGAGGAATGGTGCTCAGCTTTATGATTTTTTTCTTAACAGGTAAAACACCTGTACAGATGATTATCATTATATGAAGTTTATGTGAACATTCTTGAAAACACTGTGTTCTCACTGGTGAAAATGCATAAAAATCTTGGGAGTTTCTCACTAGTTTACCTTTAATTTTCCACCCTAACTCCAGACCAAGAACATAGGTTTCCCAAACCTAATCTGTTTCATTTCAGCCAAAATGTGAGCACAGCTGGGAGGTTTAGATACCTAAACTTGTGTAAAAATCAAAATACAAACAAACAAAACAAAAAAAGGGCTCTTTTCTTTTATTGTTCAGACAAATGGATTCTACTCTCCCTGTTTGCTGCCCATGCTGTGTGCAGTGGTGTGAGGCACTTCAGCTGAGCTGTGGGCTGTGTCACCTCCCTGCAGGAACACTCCTTATCTCCTCAGAGGTATTCCACTGGTGTTTCCCTCTTGAGCCCTAACAGCATGATGGCTGGAGTAGAAAGCTACTACAAGCTAGTTTCCATTACTGAAACTGGGTAGGAAAGTAACAAAAAACTGTAGTCAGCACAGAGGCTAAGGGGGGATGAAGTGGAGGATGGAGCAGGGTGGAAAGTATGGAAAATTAAAGGGAGAAAATGCAGTTGCTGCTCCCTGGATGGAATATGGACAGCATGCCTGACTTCCCACAAATAATACACAGTAAGGGGGCCCAAAGAGAGGGTGGACTGGAGACACCATGGCCAGGGTCTGTCCAAAAGGATTTTGGGGAAAGAAAGGATTTTGGGACAAGAGGGGGAACATGGTGATACCTTGTAGCTGATAAGCAATGTAACAGCTGTCAGTCAAGGAAGGAAAAAGATTTCCTGCTGTTGAACCAGCAACTGTGGCAAAATCACAGATGCCCACCTCCATTCCAAAGTTTACCTTGGATGCAAGACTGATGTATGGCTCCAGCCTCAAAGGTCACCTCAGATGTAATACTGACATTACCCACCTCCAAAGTGCAACCACCCCCCACTGAACATGATGCATGACTAGAGTCACTCTAGCTCCACCTGAACGTTAAAATAGTGTAAGAGTAAGTTAAAAATGGCATAAATAGAGGGAAGACTCCATTATTGGGGATTAGAGCTGGTTAGTATATTGTTTTAAGTACATTTTTGCAGCCAGATACTACCACCAGCAATCCTGTCAAGAGTTTTCTATTGTATTAATAAACTGGTATTAGTTTATTAATAAACTATTGTATTCCATAAACTGGTAAAATGAGTCCTTCAAGGGCACTTAGAGTCACTGGCAGCAGGTAACATATGTGACTGTGGATACCCAGGAGGGGGTCCCTGTTATGCTGTTGTGTCCTGAATTTGTCCCTGAATCTTGCCTGGGGCACCAACAGACCAACTAAAGGTGTGGAAGTCCAGGAGGGGGCTCTCTGTTTGCGTGTGACCCCAAGCAGGTCAGCTGAACCACCCTCACATCAAGTGGGCTGCTCAGGAAAGGGTAACAGGCACTGACAGACTGGTGAGGCACAAGGTCTCAGGTAACCTGGGGCACTGACACACAAATCAGACTGAAAGGGCTGGAGAAAACCTCCCCTTTCACGTGACAATGCTCCTTGAGCTTTAGAAATACCTTTCTCTGAAGATCTGATTTCATGTTTACAATTCATGCTAAGAGATTAAAGTATTATAGTAAGAAATGCTTATCACATTTTTATTGATTCAGATAAATTCGAAAAGTTTAGTAATAGGATCTTATCTTATTGTAAGTGGAAAAACTTCCCAGATGTCTGGAAAATATTTGTTACAGGAAGAGTGGTGGGGTTTTTTCAGAATACTTCTTTCTTTTAATCCCTGAAATGTTAATTTCATATGGATTTATCCAATGACAAGTATAGCAGAGACAAGGACACACAGTTAAATTTCATCAGAACAGCTTGTTAATTTAAGTAAATTTTACAGAGGAACTATACTTTTAAATAATCTTCAGGAAAGGAGGATGGGCCACCAGAGCACAACTATGAGTCAGTAGTGCTATCAATGTCTTCAATACTGATAGATGCAATTTGACAGATTTGTTGTGAATTTATGTTAACAAAATCAGTGACTGGTATTTCAGAAGAGAAAGTTTTTTTCAATTCTTAGAACAATCTGTTCTCTGCAATATTGTCTTTCTAGATTAAAAAATCTGCCATTTAATAGGAGACCATCTTGAGGACAAAGTGAGTGCTCACACTGCAATATTGGTGAAAACATTCATTAAAACAGAGCTGGTTCACAGGTACATACTGTCATGACTGTGGATTCAAATTTTCCTACTGATCTCAGAAAAACTTTGTTTTTTCTTGAAAAAGCCTTTCAGATATTTAAAAAACTGGTGCAGATGACCAAGTAAAGCATTACCTGTATTCTTCTCACTGAGATTTGTAATAAGTAATGTACTTTGACTTCTATTCCTGGACCAGTTGTTTTAACTGATGAAATAAATAGCACATCTGTGAATGCACACAAACAAATTTTCGAGTATTGAACAAGACTCAACTGCCTTCTTCCTGAAGAAAGCTTCTAAGATCTGTGGCTTATGGCAATGTCTGACTGTGTCAGACAAATTAAAATTTTGTAAGATGCCATGAAAGCAATAGTTATTTAAACACATTTATGTTACAATGCTTAAGCTACAGATGCTCTACCCAAAAGCATCCCTTCAGGATGTTTCTTTCACACCTCTGGCAGTGACAACATTGTATTTTTTTTCTCACACCCCCCTACTGTATGATTATAAAGTTACTTCTCCCCCTTCTAAATCCCATCTTTTAAATTCACAATTGTTGAATGCATGGTGTCTAGTAAAAGTATTTAGTTCCAAACTCAGCTCCTCTAATTAATGAGCTTGTCTGCTACCAGTAAGAGTAATATTCCTAGAACAGAAAGAAAACAATATGCAGGTTTCCTCACCCTTATCTCTCTGTAAGCAACCAAATCTCATTTTGCATATGTGAGTGATCCAAATAACACACAGCAGCTGAGACACCTTAATGAGTTGTGACAATTCTGCCAAAGAAAAAAGCTGGAATATTTATAGTGCGAGCTTGCTGGTATGTTTGACTTCTACAATGCATCATCCATTCTTCTCAGTCAGTCACATTTTCCCCCTCTGAATTTTTTAACATGCTGTTGACTCAATCAACAGCACCTCTACATGTTCAGTAGCATTTAACAGATGTGTCACAACTAGCTTTTTACTTGGCTGCTGGAAAGAATGCTAATTACTTGTATAAACCAATTTTACAATAAGATAAAATACCACTTTGCATTTCTATTTGCCATTTTCTATTCCAGTGGAAGTCATTTACTGCTCATACACCTCCCTCACTACCAGTCTGTATTGCTGCCTCCATACAGTGCACAACCACAGTGCAGCTGAGGGCTGCCTCAGTAAGTTGGTGCCCTGTTCACTTGACCTGGTGTGATACCAGCACTCTGAACTCCCACATTTTATGTAAAGATTCCACCCACCTACATGTATTTCATCTGCAAGATTGCACATTAGTCCAGTTTTCATGACAAGTCTCACAGCCAGCTTTGTATATTGAAAGAAATAAATATGTGCAATGTAACTGCAATCACTGGCAATCCAAACCTTTACTTCTTAAAAAAAACCCCAAAAAACAACCCAACTTTTCAATGTAAAATGTCAGATGCTCTTATTCAATAAAGTAACAAAAAATTACTATAGATTTTGGAAGAAATTACTTGTAATTAGTCTTAGCTCTGGCTGCTCCACATTCTCAAGAAACAAAGTACAGGGACTCCATTATTTCCCAAATCTAAACACCAAGTCACTGACTATAAGTCTTCTAAAACATTGCACTAGACCTAAAATCCCTTGTCCAGTACTCTTTAGAGTATTTTGGATAAGAAGATACAGCACAGCATGCTTTCTGTTTAAACCACACAAAATGGTAACAGAAGTAAAAGTAAACTTGGGAAACTGAGTTTGGATTATTCAGAAAGCAGTGAAACAGTTTTACAAGGCTGCCTGCTGGGTTCCAGAGCTGCACCCTACATACAAGTACTGAGTTTTTTTCTGAATAGGATTTGGTATCAAAACTTGAAGGGGTCAGAAATAAGCTTTAATTTCATCCAATTGAGACAGTTCAGTTGTTGTCACCTTACTGATATTTTCATGACAACATGTAGTAAATCTGCCACTTCAAGCAGGAAATCAGTTATATGAAGTCTATGTCTAACAGCATTCAGTAACTGTCAGCATAATATTCTTCTTTATGTGAGGCACAAAAGGAAACAAATTTGAAGACTTCAAAATACTTAGAATACAGCAATTTTTAAAAAAGTATTTAGAACTGTTGGCTATAACAAGCAGCAAAGACTATATTATCATCATAGGCTCACAATACAAAAGCAGGAAATTAGTTAGTAAGCTTCCCACCATTCCCAGGAACACATCCATATTACATAGCATTTGATGGCCAGTTCAAATTATTACTCTGATTTAGTCCACTGCTGAACTTTTACAAAGAGTCCATCAAGTTAAATTACATTTGTTTCACCAGTTATAGGTATTTGCATGGCATATTTCTGAAAAAAAATCTAATAGAAAGTCACTGTACCAAGGAGGAGATCCAAAGACACCACTACCACAGAAAAGCAGCATTTTTCCTTCAGAGCAGACTATTATGATCTTGATATGCAACATAATTATATAATGAGGCTTACAGAGAACAAGCAGCAGACAGAGAAACCAAGTAAGGAAATACACCGGCTGGGGCAATTTTCTGTTTATCTCTGTACCTTATTCTCATCTAGCTCTGAGCTACTACATGACACAGGAAGATGTATATTGTACTCTGGAAATGTAATGTAAGGTTATGATCCACTAATGACTGTGAAGCATTTGGATAGCCAAAAATAAATTTCTTAGTACATTAAAATATCAAATAAATTTCTGTTGGGATTTGACCCTCTTCTGTGGTTAGTTACTTACAATGGCATCAATCTGTTCAAGGGTCTTCATGAACTGCTCTGCAGTTCCTTTTATCCTCTTGTCCAGCTGTTTTAGTGCTTCTGCTTGGAGATCCTTTGCTAAAAATCCCTGAAGAAGAAAAAACAAAATTATTCTATACCCTACACAATACTCATCTAAGAAAAACTGTCAATCCACAAGAGCAGAAAACATATTTTACTATTTCTGTATTTTCAAGCATGATAGGGACTCCAATCTTAATCTGTATTCTTCTGTATTTTATCAATTCTTGACACAGTAAATGTAAGATCTGTTAGGTTTACTAAAATGATAAACATCTAATAGACCTTCTTATTCCAGATATATGTAAGTTATCCCATATGAAATAATATGTACTTTTTCCCAAACATTGCCGTGTCTCTATTTTGCAAACTCATAAATGGCATTTGGAATTCACTAGAATTATTACTGACTCTTGGACATTTAGGAGGGGCAGCTATTACTGACTACTCAAAACCTCCCAACTGTTTTGTTTGGGTTTTTTTACATAGAAATACCTACAAAACTGCTTTGCAAAGATATAAAGTGATACAAAACTGGCATACCTTCTGGATACTTGTGAACTCTTTATTAACTTCCTCTAACTTATTAGCTATTTGCTCCACTGACTTCTCCAAATCTTTTAACTTCTTTAATTCAGCCTCTTCTTCTGGACTATTCTGTGTATTCAAAAGTACAACATTCACAACTAAGGAACAAATAAAGATACAATGCAGCTAAAAACCAGCAGTGCTGATACAGACATAAAGGTTTCTGAGGATTTAGAATACACACTACACTGTGGCTATTCTTTCCATACTTAAATAACTACCAAATCAACTTCTTCCAAAGCTTAATTACAAATATATTTCAATCAGCAATGTATATAAACACAATTAATGAGATTAATTTGAAGGAAAAAGGAGAAGTGCAATTTTTTGTTTCTTTTTGTCAACTTATCATTTCTAAAGTATAGGCAATATTTACATCATAAGATTATTACCTCATCCTCAATTTGCAAAACCAGTTACAAATCATGTCACAAGAAATAACCTAGAGGATCAAGGCTCAGTAGCTACAGTTGGGAAAGTTTTTTTTAAACCAGAAAAAAAAGATAAGCAGAAAATGTCATCAGTGCACAGAAAGCTCATAGGCACTGACCACAGATTAGGCAGAGTCCTGTCAATAATGTAAAGCAGAAGGCAGTCAATAATGTCATTTCAGAAAAGTACAAACTGCAGTTGTTTGCAGTGTAACATGAGACTGAACTGAATTTTGTGGATAGGTATACAAAATTAAGTTAATGCTCCAGCTTGTTTCTGTGTCCAGCAGCTGACTTAGTGACAAAAATGATGATAGCTTAAGGGGAAAAAAGGTCCAAAAGCCTGCTTACCCTTTTCCCAATCAACATGACTTTGCAACCATTTTTAACACCAAGTGCTGATAATGGTTGTTCCAATTCTTTCAGAGACTTTCCTAAACAAAGAACAAGGGAGGAAAAAACAGTTTAAGTACAGCTGGTGGCATAAGAATTTTTTTTAAGACATTCAAAACATGGACACCTAATGAAAGCTCATCATCTATAAGAAACATGGCAGATTTAGAAGTTACCTTTGTATATCAGTTTCTGAAAAGGAACTGGAACCCCAGTGACTTGTTCAATAAGTACAGCCATGTCTTGTAGTGTAGGTTCACCACCTTCTCGTTGGGAAGCAACTTGAATACTGTGCTTTTCATTGCCTAGTAGAAAAGCAGAGTAACAGTAACACTTACTGTAACCTAGAAAGTATTCCAGAGAGAATCCATCTCTAATACTTATTACCATTAATGCAGAAAGTTCTCAAAGGACAGGCTCTCATGTAGAATCATAATTTTCAATCAAATTATTCTACCACACTCCTCTCAAAGTGACTGACCTCAGCTGAAAATTTTGGTTTACATTGGAATAACCTATAGAGTTCAATGGGGTGTGTTTTACTGGTGTAATTTAGCTCCTGCTAAATATTATTCCCTATCTCTTTTTAAGAGTACAGATGGTGTCCAGATATCTCACAAGCTAAAGCATGAAAGCCCACACTACCCTGATATATCCCATTTCCTACTTGAGTCTTTGATGTCTGAGACACTTATCACTTCCTTTGCTTCCTTCTTCTTAAACGTGAGAAACAAGCAATCATTGCCTACCCTGTTTCATCTCCACCACCAAGCAGAGAGAATTCTCAGAGTACAAAAACTGCTTCTCCCCATATACTACTGATAAGCAGACATAACCACTTCTAGAAGTTCCAGCTTATCTGTCACCTTCCACTTCCTATTCAGACTCCCAAAGATTAACTTGCATGCAAACAGGAGGTAGTTCTTAGGGGAAGAAAGGAGTATGCCTATTAATCTCTGCTTTGCAACAGACCCTTTCTACCACCCTCTGCTCCCACACACATCAAGTCTGTCAATCTGAAAGCACCCATAGGAATCAACCACCTCTGGCTGCAAGGGAAATCAAAACAGACATTTTTTACTCTGCAGGAAGAGACACATACAACAGAAGAAAAACCATACTCACATCACTAATTTAAAATGCATGCATCTTTTACAAAGGAGAGTGCTAGAAAAATTTATTTTAAAATGATCCAGGCTCCCACAGTCACATGACAAGTGACACTATACCCTCAAATATTTTAAAGCTTCAACAAAATTTGTTATTCCAAGACAATTTTAAGCTTAAAATCACATTATGCCCCTCTCACCCAAGCACTTTCCATAAACAGTCCTTCTTAGCAGTTTGTTTTGGGAAAAAAAACCCCACAACCTCAATACATTTCAAAAGGTCATTTTGATATATACAGCTGCTTTGTATAAGGGCTCTGCCCATGAGCAATTGAAAGAAAAAAAGAAAAAAAAAAACACTAACTGAGGGAAAAAACAGATGAAGCTTGTGTAACAATAGAACCAGTTTAATTACAAATTATGAGCACCACTTTGTACAGACTGTAAACAAATTTTACTGTAAATTCACAGCAGAGTGAAATCACCATAAGAAACAACTCATGGGTTGCTCCAGGTGCCAGAGCTGAGATTCCCCTGCAGCCCACAGTGAAGACTACAGTGAAGCAGCTGTGCCCCTGCAACCCATGGAGGATACCACAGCAGAGCAGGTGGATGCCTGAAGGAGGCTGTGATCCTGTGGGAAGCCTGTGCTGGGGACCTGCAGAGCCATGGAGAAAGGAGCCCATGCTGGAGCAGGTTTGCTAGCAGGACTTGTCACCCTGTGGGGGATGCACATTGGAGCAGTCTGTTCCTGAAGCACTGCAATCCATAAGAGAAACCCATGCTGTAGCAGGGGAAAAGTGTGAGGAGCCCTACTCTGGGGAGGAAGGAGCAGCAGAGACAAAGTGTGATGAACTGACCAGAGCCCCATTCCTCTGCACTGCTCAGGCAGGAGGAATCAGAGAATTCAGGAGGAAAGTTAAGCCCGGGGAAAAAGTCATTTTTTTTCTTTTAGTGCTCATTGTTCTACTCTGATTTGAATGTTGTTAAACTACACATCCCCAAGTCTGTTCTGCCCATGACCTGGTGAGTGCTCTCTCCCTGCCCTTCTCTCAAGCCACGAGCCTTCTGTTGTCTTTTCTGTCCCCTGCCCAGCTGAGGAGGGCAGTGACAGAGTGGCTTTGGTGAGCATCTGATGTCTGCCCACCACACTTGCAGACTTTCAAGTCACACATGTGGGACTACCGTCAGTTCTGTTTCTCAGCCCTAATTTCCATCTTTCCCACTTTCACTCATGCACACAAAACTTTACTAAAAATGTTCTGTGCAAAGTGTCAAGCCTCACATCTGACAGCTGCAGGTGTAAATCACAAAGATGAAGCCCAAGCTGAACAAAGGCTTCTATTTGCTGTCTGTTAATGACTAAGTCATTATCAGGTGAGAAAACAACTGGAAAGACAAAAACATTCTCAGACTGTTGCCAAACAGCAAGACGTTAGAAATATAAATATGTCAAATCATTAAACTGCAGACATTGCAAAATGAAAGCCTCTCACATCAAATGGAACTCTCTGAAGGCACCAGTGAGCACATGAATCATGATGACTCAAACAAATTATTCCACAAAATTCTTCACCAAAGACTCTTAATTAAAACTACCAGGTGATAAAGGAAACATTTTAACAAAACAATTTGAAACACAATTTGAAAACTCAAATGAGCAATCAGAAATAAGCAATAAGCTTTAGAGATGGAAACAACATTACCAACATAGCGCAAAAGAAACAAAGGCAGAATTTATTATTCAATTTTTTTAAATACAATAAAAAATTACTAAGTTTTGCTAAGAAAACTCAGCAGAACATCTTGCTGATTTAATATGTTACTATCTTCTTCATTCCTCCTACTTAGATCTACTTCAAAATTTAGCCATGGTGTTTCCCATCTTATTTGTAAGAACTGCAGAGTCCAAGCTATTCTCACTCCTTTACAGTAAGGTTTTATATTTGTTTATAGACACATCTTCCCCTCCACCTTCTTCTCCCTCCTCTGGTTTTTCTTTTCGAGGGGGGGAAGAAAGCCACCTCTGCTGGCCTTTGAGTGACCCATTCCATCAGGTCAGCACCCACCTGTCCTACCAAAGAAACCACTCTCTGCTGCAGCCTCGCAGCTCACCAGGTGCCAACATCCAAGCCTCTTCAACAAACCAGAAGACTTTTGGGTAGCACCTGCTTTTAACATGCTGTGCTGACTTCAGCAATATATTTCATCTAAATGAAGATTACCCAAACAGCAGAATCATAGTATGGATCAGCTTGAAGGGATAACCCACAGTGGGTCATCTGGCCCGACTTCCCTGCCAAGCAAGGTCATCCTCGAGCACATGGCACAGGATCGTATCCAGAGAGTTCTTGAATACCTCCAGTGAGGGAGACTGCACAACCTTTCTGGGCTAGTTGTACCACGGCACAGTCACTCCCACAATAAAGAAGTTCTTCCTCATATTCAGGTGGAACTTCGTGTGCATCAGTTTCTGCCCATTGCCTCTTGTGCTATTGCCGAGCACCACCGAGAAGAGCCTGACTCCATCTTCTCGGCATCCCCCCTTCAGATATTCATTCACATCAATGAGGTCCCCTCTGCCATCTCTCCTCGAGGCTGAACAGGCCCGGCTCCCTCACCTGTTCCTTTTAGGAGAGACGCTGCAGTTCCCCCAAGATCCGACCTGTGCGAGGGCCGCCGTGCCACCTGTTCCCCCCACCACCCTCGCAGCCCACCTACGCCCGCGCTCCGGCTGGAGCAGACCCTGGCAGGCCTGCCCAGAAGGAGCGAAGCCTCACGGCACAGCCCGGACGGACCCCGGGCTGAGCGGGCCCGGGCCGCGCCCCGCCGAGGCCGCCCCCGCCCGCCCCCACCGCCGGTGCAGCCGGGCCCGCCCGCCCGCAGTGCCCGGTGCCGCTCCGGGCCGGACCGGGAATGGCGGGCAGAGGGACGGGGAAGGGCCGGGAGCGGCCCCGCGGCCGGAGCCGCGCCCCCGCCCGCTGCCCCTGCCCCGGGCGCTTACTGTAAGTAACGGTGACGGTCACCGGGGCCCCGGGCGCCGCCATCTCGCCCCGCCGCAGGAACCGTCGGCGGCGCTGCCGGGGCGCGCCCGGAGCGCGTCACTTCCGCAGCAGGAGCACGGGAATGCCGCTATCCCGGCCGCACCGCCCCGCCGCTCCCGGCAGCGGCAGCAGGGACAGGGACACGGACACGGCCGAGGCGAGAACGGGACCGGCCCTTCCCCGTCCCCAGCCAGGCCCCGCCTCTGGAGAGCCCGTGCACGTGACGCCGATAACCTGCCCCGCGCTCCGGACCGGATTCATCGCCAAAAACGCCACACAAAGGGAGCTGCTAATCTACGTGATTTTATGTCTCCATGGAATACATGATAATGATAACCCGAGCAGTTTTCAAGAAGGTTACAAGTACAATCGCATAAAAGTCTCAGGACTGCAGTAGTTTTAAAAATTGATTTCAGTTCTTTTATCAAACAGGCGTAGTAGCAATAAGGGAGCTATTTTACAGAGCAAGCAGCAACGTATAGTCTTAGTTTCAAGAAAGAGAAGCATAATACAAAGTCAGAATAAGCCTCAGCTATCGACAGCCACCACTAGTCTTCACGTTTTACTTTGTCCATAAGATACAGAAATCAAAACCTATCAGACTGACTGCTTCCACTGAAGGGAACTGGGATGAATTTTCCATGAACAGAATTCAGTAGTAAAACAACTTTCTCCAAAGAAAGAACACCACCAGCCACTCATATTGCATTCTAGGATGTAGTGATATTAAAGTTACACTGGAAAGACAAGTTCTCCAGAATTTTAAAATAAAAAAGATTCTTAATACAATTTGAAAAGTATAGTTCCATTGTATCCATTGTGCTTTTGAAACATTTATGTTGCAGGGATCTTTGGCAACCCAAATTCATCCACCAATACGCCATCCTGTAGGAAAGAAAAAGACGTGATGGGTTAACAACTCTCCAACAACCAGAACATTTTGCTTCCTTACTACTTCTATAAAGCTGAGAAAGCTTCTATAAGCTTCCTTACTACTTCTAGAAAGTGTCTCTATCTGCAATTGCCACTGTGTGACAGCTGGAATCAAAACAAGAGCATCAGTTCTCCTTCACCACAAAGCTCTACTAAAGCTCCAAAAGCAAACATACAGAAGCTTTTCTTATGGTTTTAAGACTGGAGCTGTAATGGTACACTTAAATTCCACTGGCAGTCCAACAGTGTTTGATAGGAACGATAAAATGTCATTCTAGTGATTTTAAACATAGTTAAGAGCATTCAGTACACTGTACACTTTATTCTCAAATTCTCTGTATTTCGCATCCATACATATAATACATAAATAGCATATATAACATTAAGCACACTTTTTTGTTCAAAATATTAAGGATCCTAAATATCAAGCAACCAACACAAATGTGATTAACCCAAACCAAACAAAAATGTATTTTGCTGTTGAAGAGCAAAGGACTCACTTTGTTTTTTGTGTCTGTAGGAGTGACCTCTGGGATTGCTGGAGCGGATGCGGCTTCGTCTAAGTAGGAATTGTCTTCATCAGCTAAAAGCTCATCACCTAACGCATCCAGTTCTGAAATTGAATTGTGTTGGCTGAAATATTACACAAGAAGTTCCTTTTGCAAGAGAAAAGCTGCTCTTACAGAAACTCAGGATTCTTACTGAATGCTTATATTCAGATGCACCTCACATCAGTCATCAGAAATACACACACACACACACTTGAGAGAACCTTCTTCCCTGCCTTGTAGCATTCCATTGGAATCTCATGTTTGTCTATGCTCTCATTACTTCTCTTAAAGGAAATGCAGATTTAATGCAGTTTAAAAAAAGCTATCAAAGCTTTCTAAAACACATTTAAAGTATTTGACTAAGGAAATAAAAAAATCACTGTATGACAGTACTATGATTTTTACATCCAGTAATATAAAAAAATCATCTTTTCCCTTCCTAACCTGCTTCCAAATCATCTTCATCAATCTCTGGTGTTCCATAGCTACGACTCAGTGCCTCCTGGACTTCATTGGCTTCTTCCATCATATCTTCCAATTGATCTTGTATGTCCTGAAGCAAGAATAATTTTAAATTGGTCCATATTTACTCAAATTCAATTCAGTAATTCCAACATACAAAGCACTCCGTTGTTTTAATTCTTTTTCAATAAACCATTTTTTTTGAAGCAGTATTAATACAAGTCAAAGCACATACATTCAGGACAGGAGTACTTGAAAAGCAGAAAAGGTATGAAATTTAGACAAATCTACCATCTGGAAAATAAGCACTAACCTGAGTTGTGCCACAGCAGAATTTAGAAGATACATTAGCAATTTTACTGCCACTGTACTTGAGTACAGGTAAGGAAACAATACTTGCCTAAAGGTTTACAATACAGGCCATTTATAAATAAGACAGAATAGGAAAGAGAACTTAAAGGAGTTCAGCACTGGCATTGGGTAAGAGCTTAAGTGCAGCATACTTGAAATTATATGTTTAGTTAGTGGATTGGTTTTTTGTTTGCTTTGTTGTTTTTTGCTGTTGTCTGGGCTGGGTTTTTTGCTTTTTTGGTGGTTTTTTGTGTGGCTTTTTTTTAGGTTTTGTTCTTTTTCATCAGGCACTATGATGAATGGGGGGGAGTGGCAGGTAAAGGACTAATCTGCATGTTACTAGCATAAGGAAACAAAAAAGGACAAAAAAGCCATAGCAGGAAGTATCCACTAATATTTATGCTGAAGTGCAAGGAAAGGAGAGATTAAAGATCAGCTCAGCAAGGAAACAATAATCATGACAATAAGGAAAACCACTCATTGTGCAGTACCAGAAAAATCAGGAAGGAATTATGATGGTGGTCCCATAAAAAAGGCAGACAAACTCATGTAAACAAAAAGTCATCTTGCCTTGAAATTCATAGTCCATTCACTATTATTTCAGTACTTTATTTTTTGTTATTTATTTAACTATAAAAACTCACCTCAATTTGATCAATCTTGACTTGCTTGTAAGCTTTCTTCATTTCTTTCACCCCCAGTTTCATTGCATCCACCTAGAAAAGTCAAACATCATACTTGTATCTGATGTAGCACAGATTGAACAAATTAAACAAGTGTGAGATAAACAAACTGGTACCGTTGTCTTTGTATCCTTCAGTGCCTGAATTGTGTAATTAGCTTGTTCCATATTAAAAGACTGCTGTGACAGATTATCCCTCTGTTGTTCATACCTGTTTAAAAAAAAGGCAAATAATGGCTTTAAAAGACTACACTATTTATTACCACAAACATTCTTAATTTATGAAGAGTTGAAAAACCAGCAGCAGTAGTCTAAAGATAGAACAGATATGTTCAGTTTCTTTTTTTCACTTATTATACACAAGTGCAGAATAAACAGCTTCATAAAAATCTGGCCATTATGCATTTCTGTGCACTTGAAGCCAACAAAGCTATTCCTGAACTAAGTTTTAACGGACAGCAACACCATATTTGCCTGGGCTGACAAAGAAGGTGAGGATACAGCAGAAGTTTAATCACCATAAGGCAGTCATGCATGCCATGCTCACTAATGCTGTAAAGAGAATGGAAGGGCTGGCAGATTATCCAAACCACAGTGACTCCACACTGGAGTTTTTCAGGGCAGGGAGGAGGAGGAGGATAGGGTACCTTAAAGGAAACCTTTAAGACTAACCACAAAGAAAAGAGAGACTTTAAAAATTAAGAAATCATCTTTCTCAAAGCTAAACTTGTATCAAATCAAGAATGTAAACTATGTCAAGTTAAGCAAAATAATGAAAGCATAAAAATGAACCATGAGTCCTTCTAACATGCAAAGCAGGAGATCTGAAAGAAAAGGAGGATCCACATGCAAAACCTTCTGGACAACTAATGAGTGCGTCTATTTCTGTTCCACAAGGTCAGAAAGAAATGACTGAGGAATATGACAACAGCCTATTATGAGGGGCCCACCAAGGAAGATTAGCAGGCAGCATAGTCAAAAACCAGGGAAAAATACCTTAGGGTTTTTTAACAGAATCAAGCCAGAATCAAGCAGTCCTCTTCACAACATCTACCTCAAGTACCACATTCCTTGCCATATGATATTTTGGATTGTAAAAGTTTACTAATACTTAATTGTTGCCATGTATCACAGTGCATCAAGTCACACTTAAAAAGTAATTGAGTGAGTCCATAAAGGTACAATTCATCTGAGGGACATGAAATACAAGATGATGGGAGCTTTAGGTCAGACAGCTTCTAAGATTTGCAGTTCATAGACTCTGAGATACTCCAGTGAAACATTCCTGAACACTTGCCGTGTTCTGATATTCTTTCCTTTGGATCTTGACTCTTTCAAGACAGTACACTAGACAAGATCAGACACAGGATCATCTCTCCTGTCCATTTGGGGGTTTCTGCATAGACACAATTACCTGCACTACATCTGCTCAAGTCCTCAAAGGTGCCCATAGAGAACAGGTAGATTTTCAGTAAACCAGAGCAAGGTCATAACATACAAAATTTACAGTAATCAATTAATACTATAAAATAAGGCAATCTCTCAGAAAGTTTAGGAGCCAAACATATTTGTAATAATGAGCAGATTCAGGTCATCTTGTACCAATCCAAATTTATATACTGGAATATCAATCATAAATATGCTGTTGCAAAATATGTAAGGAGATACTTCTGAAAGGGCTCTTCAGCATTTTGCTTTAAAGAGTGCTCAGGAGAGTACTGGAATGAGAAATAAAAGTGTGCCACCGCCCCCTAAAGAAAAGAACCTTTTATTAACCACAAACTGAGAAAGATTTCAACTTACATTCGCTTCTGCTTTAACACTCTTAATGCTTTCTGCTTTACTGTATTCTGAAAGACACAATAGTGTTACATTAGATAAAATATCTGACTTTACACTCGATTATGCTGTTTAAACCTAATGCATTGGATTTAAGTTTTCCAAAAGATTCCTCAGTTACTAGTGCCAAGAGTTTAACAATAGTTACATTCAGCATTTGGCCTGCACTAATGATTAACAAAACAGGAGAGTACACAAAGCTTCTCATAGAAAATACTTTCAGTTTATAGCTTCTGATATATGTT